AGTGGAAATTTCATAAAGGAAATAGAAGCCCTATGCAAGAGAAGAAAGGGGGAAGCATTGGAAAATACATAAGCTTAGTTACACTGAATTATAGATTGTTGCCTGGGGTGAAAGAAACATGCTGTCCCTAAAGACAGAACTCACCACATGAATGTCAAAGGACAAATCTTTCCTACTAATATTCAAGGGACACGTCTTCCAATAGCTTGCAGTAGCATCATTTGTATACATAGAAACAATTTCATTTTAATCAATGTCTGAATTCCAAATGTGGCAGAAATATAGTCTCAGTAATGTTAATTTTTTTCAATATATAATTGCAGTCTTGATGACAAATCCATAGATATGAGTATAGGGTTTAATTCCGTTTTAAAGAAGATGAACATTATTAATTGGCTATGGTCCGTGGGACACCAGCAAGAAATATTTTCAAAGACCACTTTCAAAAGTAGGAGTAGAAACAAGAGCTTTCATCTGAATATATCCTGAAACCGTCCTAAACAGGCAAAATGGGAGTTCCTGACGTGGATTTGCACTATTCACTTACATCTACTGAGGCAAACACAGTGCAACTCACAAGTGTCAACTCAGTACCTGGTCTGAGCATATTCCTTGCATGGATGCTGCGCTGGGCTCTGGAAGAGCCAGAGAGAGAGATGCAGGGATCCTAGAAATCAGGTAATCCATCAGTTCCTGCCTACAGATGCCCTGGCCTGCACCAGCAACCCCTAACTGAGAATCTCCCCTAACCAAACACCTGGCAGAACCCTACCTGACAATGAACCCCAGGACTCTCAGCAGAGGAGACTGGGATGTATTTTTCTGCCCTAAATCCAGTGTTCACTCTCCCTTGTCTACTTAGGTTAGATAAGGACTGGCCTTTTCCTTGTTGTCCTAAGAGAACCTTTTATTCCTACCACTGGGCCTACAATCCTATTCTGAAATTTAGCCTGTTTGCCTAAAACCTGAACCAACTAAGCACTTACAGACCCTCCCCCTCACTGGATAGATCCACTCCTCAGACCCTCAAACGGCCATCTGAGGCCTTAGAGGCAGAGCACCCTGAAATGAAGGAGTCCCCAGCCCCAGCCCATGTTTTCCCCTGTCCAGTGACTTTCTGCTTCCATGCTCTGTTTGGCCCATCAGAGTTCTAGAATAGCAACCTTGCTGTGCTTGTCCCATGGTTACTGCTGCCACCGGCACTGTGAGCTGGAGCCCCAGCTTCTCCCGTGCAGGGACCAGCTCTCCAGAGGAGAATCTATCCGCCTGGGCTCTGTCTACACCTGTGTTTCCTCTCCCTCTAGTTGTCCCCTGGCTTGTCTCACAACTAAGAAGAAACAATACTTCTATATATAAAACAATTAGAAGGCAAAACAAGCATTAGATAATAAAGGAGGAACTAAGTACATTCAAGGGCCTTATAGGTCGCCAGAGAACAGCAAAAGAAATATATTAAATATAAATAGTTAATTGCACAAATCTTCCTTACTCTATAATCTGTTCAAAATTTTTGACTGTTCAATAATGCATGATGATTCCTCTTATATGGCATGTATAAAACAATATTACTTCTGAGAAGAAACTTTTTTGGATTACCATTTAAATAATTTAGACATAGTACCAGAACATTTTCACATTAATAATTCTCCCTCTCAAAATCCAAAATACTTTCCATTATGCTTCAATGATGAACATAATACAACTTTTTTAAAACAGAAAGGTAACATTATTCAAGAACTCTGAGCTGGAGTTGTTTGTGAAATGCACTTCTGTACGGCTCATTTGAGTTCTCTGCTGCCACTTGGTTGAGATGAATGAGCCAGGAGAGCAGCCATGAGCTCACAGATTTGTTGCTGTTATTCAACTAAACGCAGTTTCCCAGAAGGCTAGATTAACAGAGCACAGCCTGTCAAGTTCTTCTTTGAAGGTTGAATCTTCGCAGTGAAAAGAAGCAGACATCAGAGAGGAAAAAAAAATACAAGACTGGTTTACCTAAAATTATAGCACCCAAAGGCATAGGGTTACGTTAAGCTTAAAGACTACCCTCTCCCATCTCTGCCATTTCTTCTTTCTTCTAATAACAAAGCACTCTTTTCTTTTCTTTCTTTTTTTCTTTTTTCCATTTCAGGTTAATCTGAGTCATGTCACAGCATTTGAATTTGCTAGGTAAAGTCTCTCTTGTATATGTGTCCTGCACCTGAAAGGTGTACCATACAAATTTACATTGCGGCCACTAAGTGGGAGCACCCCTATCCCCCCATGCCCCTCTCCCCAACTTGAATTGAATTGGGTTTTTTCCTCCTATGTGGGCATGTATTGGATCATCTACTGGCTTCCTATAGTCTCAAGTACACTGGATCTTTCTTTCCCATTCTGTGATACTTTACTAAGAAGAATGTGTTTTCTGAATGGGTAAAGATCTTTGTATACTGTGAATCTGACAAATCTGATATTTGTATGTTGTGGATCTATAGAAAACTCAAATTAACCAAGAAAATAGAGCATCCTTTTCTTTAGAGAATGTTTCTAAAGGAATTTTAATGTTCATACTTTTCTTCCCCAAATATTTTTGTCTAATCAGGTGACTATCCCTTGCCTTTCTTATAAACCTTTAAAAAACTATGATTTTATTTTCTTAATATCTTCTAAAATACTTAATATTCTCCTGAACCTAAAATCAACAATGGGGACATTGTTCTGCAGAGAAAAGAAACTTAGATGAGGACTTGGTGAAGATTTGCTTAATATCACACTTTTCATTTTTTGATTGTAGTCTTATGGATCATGAATTAGATGGCTTTTATTTCCTTTGAAATATACATTTTACGTATGTTAAAATATATAATATTTTTAATGATCCAAGTTGCAGCATAGTAGATCTGATTGTTCTGAAAGCTTTCAAAATCAATGACCAGAAAAAGCATTTATGGTTATTATAAAGGACAATAATTAAGGCTGCAAGGTCATCAGATCAGCAGTTTCACACTGGCTGTTGCACTGATCATCCTCCAGCCATATGTGGGTTCTTTTGGACATTTTTATTTCAAATGAAACTTTTAAAAGTAGACCGAAAAAAAATAGTCTAACAGGAATCCTCCCAACTGAGTTCAATGCAAAATTATTAGGGGAAGTTTAGAGCTGCAGATAAGCAGAGAGACTGCACAGTGACGATGTGAGATTGATGTCTTAGAACTGTAACGCCTGAGTCAGGCTGGACTTCTGCAATTACAGGCAATGCAAGACACAATAGACAAGATGACATGCTATCGGTGTACAGAGAGCATTACAATCTCAATACAGTTTTTTCCTTTCTTAAAATGTGTATATATATTTCTGGCACCCTCTGCATACAGCAGAATCTCAGTAAGTTGACCACCCAAGGGACTGTAACACACTGATCAACACACAGAGGTGGTCACCCTAAGGAACCAGGCCTACGTGCTGACATGTACCTGTGGCGCGTGTCCAGTCTATGACAATTTGGCCAAATGAAGGAGGTGGTCAGGGTAGAGAGGCGGTCAGCTATGGAGGTTCTGCTGTGTGTGTGTGTATATATGTATATATTTGTATTTGGCTGAGTCATTTGAGAGTAAGTTGCAGACACTGTAACCTCAAACATTTTATCATGTCTCCTAATATCAAGGACATCTACATAACCCTAATTCAATTATCACACTCAGTAAATTTAACATTAATACAGGTTTCCTGGTCTTGTTCCTTGTGGCAATATTTTCTCCGATGCAGCACCAAACATTAGCCGTTGCATTACAGTTAGAGGTAGTAGGGCACTTGTGCTAACAATGTCTCAGTAACTTCACCATTAATCAGTTTCCCAGGATTGGGCCAGATTACAAACTCTTGATAACACATGCTGGATTAATGAATTAATTAATCTCTGTGCTTCAACATAAACACAATTCTTAACACATGAAAAGGCTTTGGTAACCAGCGGATGAAAGACTGGAGATTGTTAGTTCTTAAGTACCAACCAAATTTGACACAGTGGAAAAAATTTTTTTGACATAGTGGTATCTCATATTTTAAAAAGCTAGAAGGGACTCAGAATTTTTTGTTTGTTTGTTTTGTCCAAATACTTTTTTTCTTAGACAAGATTCCCCAAGGGTAACTTGCCAATTTCACAAAGTAGCAGCACAAGACAGAACCAAATGGCCAAGTCTCATTATGCTGGCTTTGGTGGCCCCCCTTGGAACCCAAAATATGTAAAACGTAATCTCCTTGCTCAGCATCTATTAATCTGGGCAACCTCCCTAATGAAAAGAATGAGCATAATTTAAAACCTTGCACTTTCCTTCTCTGCTCTGGCTATTCACATTTAGCAAAACAATTGTGGTGCTGAAGCAACCTTTCATAATTGAGAGAGATGTGGACCTGTTACCGCAGAGCCTCAGACAATAAGCTATTTTCCATCATCACGTGGTACATTGTGCAATGTTCTAACCCAAGTGTTGGAACATGAATATCACAATCAATTTAACAATTAGCATTTTCCAAGACAATAGGCACATTATTGCTTGGAATAGTGGCACACACTTTAAACAGAGAGCCATTGACCCCCTGCTTAATGGCAGCTTTAATCCTTTTTATGTAGGCTTACTGAACAAGTGGACATCAGGAAAAATGTATATGGAAATTCACAAATACCATATTCTATTCTATTCAAGCAATATAACTTTCCACGTCTTCTCCAAAACTACTCAATAAAAAAATATGGACAAGATTAACTCCCTAAGTGATTTTTCACTAGCATGCATAGAAATTTTCTAACCTTAGCATTACAATATTATATAAATTAATACATGTGTCATTTTACCAGATTGAAAAGATAATTTATGCCTTAAGAAGAACCCAATTCATACTGCATCTTATAAGTTTAGCCAAATAAAATTATCCATTTCATACATAAATTGCTAAATTGCAGTTTTCCCTGTGACGGGCAAGGGAAAGCAGGGTTTCTTTGAGTGTTAAAAATCAAAGGTTTCGACCTCCTGGTCTTACCACAGGCTGTGTTCTCACACTGACTGTATAGGAGGAGGAGGCCGAGGAAACCTACCCTCGGTCCGCCCCAGCCAGGCCCCACGCCTGGTCCATATTATGAACGGGGGAATATGGGGAAAAAATCAAAGGGATAAATTCCATTTCATTTCTAAAGTCACAGAGTATCTCTAGAGGACTGTTCACATGGTGAGGGCATTTCCTTTCCCTGGTAAAATTTATAGCTATCAATGAAAAAAAAAATAGGGGCCCATGTCACCCAGTCTGTAAAAGAATCGTGTTGGGGGGGGGGGGATGTGTTCAGGCAAAGTGAGACTGTTGATCAGGAGGCTAATTAAATTGTGATCCTTGGAGTGGTGGGGGCAAACAGCAGAGTCATCAGGTGCAGGTGGTGGTAGGAGGATTGTCGGTGTCTCTCCTCCTCTATGGAAATGTCAGCAATTTGAGGGCAGAAACTGTCCTTTCACTGAACTCTCCAGTATTGCAGTAAAAGTCTCTCAAATGTGGGAAATGCACAAGATGAAGGTACAGTGGGGGAGGATGGGG